GTGGAGCGCAACCGGAGGATGACTTCCAGACTCTGTCTGTACTGTGGAGCTAACGGACACTTGATTAATTCCTACCAGGTCCGACCAGCATGCCCAGCGGTGAGTACCATCCAGCTCAGTCCTCAAATAGCAACCCTGACTTGCATGAGTGTATCATTCATTTAATCTCACCAATCCCTTTCAGCGCATGCTCTCATAGACTCTGGCTCCTCTGGAAACTTCATCTCGCTGACCCCACTACAACGGCTACGGCTCAAATCTCAGAAAAATGCTTAAGTCTTGAATATCCTCACCATCCAGGGAAAACCACTGGGCCGTGGCAAGATTTGTTTATGCTCTCCCAACATTACGCTCTGCATTGGGTGCCGTCATGAGGAGCTCCTCTCCTTTCTGGTGCTGGAGGATTCCACCATGGAGGTCATTCTGGGACGCCCGTGGCTGGCCCTTCATTCTCCCATCATTAACTGTAATAATAACGAAGTTCTCCACTGGAGTGAGTACTGTCTTCAGAACGGCCTGACCAAAATTTCTTCACCACAATCTCATCTCCTTCCAGTCTTTGCCACCAATATTGAGAGTACTGAACCGAAGGAGGTTCCTACCATCCCTCCAGAATACCGGGCGTACCAGGATGTATTCAGTAAGCGGGCCGCCACGAAACTACCACCTCACCGGCCATGGGACTATGCCATCGATCTGCTGCCTGGAGCTCAACTCCCCAAGGGTAGAGTTTACCCATTGTCCATCCCGGAGCAAAGAGCTATGGAGGAGTACATTGAGGAGGCTCTCCAACAAGGCTTCATCCGTCCCTCGACCTCACTGGCTGCGTCCAGCTTCTTCTTTGTGGGCAAAAAGGACAGAGGCTTGCGGCCTTGTATCGATTACTGTTCCCTTAATTCTCAAACAGTTAAATACCTGTATCCCCTTCCGCTGGAGGAACTACGTGGAGCTCGCATCTTCTCCAAGCTGGACCTGCCTTCATCACTCCCACCGGACACTATGAATACCTCGTTATGCCGTATGGATTATCCAACTCACCTTCTGTCTTCCAAGGATTTATGAACAAGGTGTTCCAGGAGTTTCTCCATCGCTTTGTGATTGTGTACATCGATGACATCCTCATATACTCCTGGAAACTGGCCTAACATTGGCATCACGTGGAGCAGGTCCTTCAGAAGCTGAGGAAATACCACCTTTACCTCTGGCTGCGTCCAGCTTCTTCTTTGTGGGCAAAAAGGACAGAGGCTTGCGGCCTTGTATCGATTACTGTTCCCTTAATTCTCAAACAGTTAAATACCTGTATCCCCTTCCGCTGGAGGAACTACGTGGAGCTCGCATCTTCTCCAAGCTGGACCTGCCTTCATCACTCCCACCGGACACTATGAATACCTCGTTATGCCGTATGGATTATCCAACTCACCTTCTGTCTTCCAAGGATTTATGAACAAGGTGTTCCAGGAGTTTCTCCATCGCTTTGTGATTGTGTAAATCGATGACATCCTCATATACTCCTGGAAACTGGCCTAACATTGGCATCACGTGGAGCAGGTCCTTCAGAAGCTGAGGAAATACCACCTTTACCTCAAGCTGGAGAAGTGCAAGTTACAACGCACCACCACCAAGTTCCTCGGCTATGTTATCAGTCCCCAGGGCATCCAGATGGATGACAACAAGGTGCAAGCCATTCGGAACTGGCCTCAACCCAAGACCTTTAAGGAACTTCATCGCTTTCTGGGATTCTCCAACTTCTACCGCTGCTTCATTCATCATTTCAGTCTCATCACAGCTTCTCTAACCTCCATGCTCTGTAACAAGCCCAAGTCTCTGTCCTGGACACCTGAAGCCCTCAAGAGTTTTGAACAGCTAAAGGAAGCCTTTTGCACCACTCCTACCCTCGTCCACCCGGACCCTCAGTGGCTGTTTGTCATTGAGGTCGACGCGTCCACAGTAGGAGTAGGAGCGGTGCTATCACAACGTTTCGGAGAGCCTCCAGTCCTCCATTCCTATGCATACTTCTCCCGCAAGCTTTCCCCGGCTGAGCAGAACACTGGACAAGGAAATCTGCCAAGCCACTCAGTCAGAACCTGCTGTGCCATCACCAAGTCTCCCCATCATCTGCCACAAGGAAAACTGGTATAGCTTCCCATACCACGCCGGCCCTGGTCCCACATCGGAGTCGACTTTGTCACCGACCTCCCTGAATCGGAATCTTACACCTGTATCCTTGCTGTCGTCGACAGATTCTCTAAGGCGTGCAAACTTCTCCCTCTCAGAGGATTACCCACCTCCATGTAGACCGCAAAACAGCTATTCCACCATGTGTTTCGCAACTTCAGTATTCCTGAAGATATCGTCTCCGATTGTGGGCCCCAATTCATCTCCTGGGTCTGGGGGCCTTCTTCCAACTCTTAGGAGTCTCCATAAGCCTGACCTCCGGATACCACCCGCAATCTAATGGCCAGACTGAGCGAAAGATCCAGGAGATCGGGAGATATCTTCGCAGCTACTGCCATAACAACCAGAACTGCTGGAGCCATTACCTTCCCTGGGCCGAGTATGCACAAAACTCCCTCCGGCAGAACACTACTGGCCTCACACCCTTCCAGTGTGTACTCAGCTTTCAACCTCCCCTTTTCCCATGGACCAGAGAGCCATCTGAGGTTCCAGCGGTCGATCACTGGTTCAGAGAGAGCAAGAGGGTATGTGACTCGGTGCATGTCCATCTCCAGCAGGCAGTTCGAAGACACCAGATCCAAGCATACGTTCGTCGCCTACGTACTCCGCAATACCAACCTGGAAATAAGGTTTGGCTGTCCACACGGGACATCCGTCTCCGACTGCCTTGCCGCAAGCTGAGTCCCCGCTATATTGGCCCGTTCACCATCAGGAGGCAGATCAACAATGTCACCTACAGGCTTGATCTTCCATCTCTCTACCGTATAGCACCTACCTTCCACGTATCCCTGCTCAAGCCTTGCACTAATCCTCTGTCTCCTTCTCCCTCAGGGTCTGACGAAACGGACGTACCTCCTCCTCCCGAGATCGATGAGGAGGAAACTATCTACCGAGTCAACACCATACTGGACTCCCGGCATCAAGGTGGCCGCCTAGAATATCTCATCGACTGGGAGGGATTCGGCCCCAAGGAAAGGTCATGGGTGCCTAGAGACAATATCCTGGACTCGTCATTCCTAATTCATTTCCATACCCTCCATCCCGATTGTCCTGCACCCAGGGGCCGCAGCCGTCCTCGACATCGGCAGCGGGCGTCGGGAGCCGCCCGTGGAGGAGGGGTCCTGTCAGGGATACTCCAGCCTCGTCAGACCCAATCACACCTAATCAAGACTAGCTCTAATACACCATCACTTCAGTTGCATTTTGTCTGGTCTTGAGTTCACTACGCTACTCCTTACCAGTCTCACCTACCTGGATAGTTACCAGTACTCGCCTGTCTGCAGTCAGCATCAGCTGTTCTCCTCCTTTTTTCCTGGAAAGAGATCCAAAGAACTGTTATCCACCTGAGCAAAGTCCAGTTTATCACATTGACTTTGATTGACTCACCTGTTGATTCCACATCACCTCACTCTGCACCAAGCTGTTAATAAAGACATTTAACTTACCTGTCTGTCTCATCGAGGTCTTCTTCTGTGTTGTGACAGTTTTATGCTCACACATGTTATAGACAACAAATAGTTTTTTTCTTCAAATGTGAAATGTATTTTCTTAGATTGGAAATATATGGAGAGCAAAATACATTTTAAATGCTTTTAAAGAATATATTTTCAAAAATATACAAAATGGCCAAAAATATATTGGTAGAAAATACATTCTTTTTTTTTTTTTTACAATTTTTTTCTATTTATACAGTCTTCATAACTCTCTCTCTCTCGCTCTGTCTCTGTCTATATATATTTAGTTACCATATGAGTAAATCAGCAAAAAATAAATAAATAATAATAATACTCAATAATAAAGTAATTGATAATAAACATATCAGAAAATTTCTCTCTCTCTCTGTCTCTGTCTATATATATTTAGTTACCATATGAGTAAATCAGCAAAAAATAAATAAATAATAATAATACTCAATAATAAAGTAATTGATAATAAACATAACAGAAAATTAATTTCCTTAACGATTAGTTGAGAAAATTAGCCAGTAACACTACTTTAAAGTATTTGAAAATGCATTTTTAAGAACAACCATTTTACTTTTTAATGCAAGCATTTTTATTTTGACAAACAGCACATACTGACAGAAAGAGAGCTTCAGTGTTTGCACTCACACAGAAGCAGCAGCATGACCCCTTTAACATGTTATGAAAAATGCACAAAAATACTATTTTCAAATTTACATGAAAAATATATTTTCCAAAGCATGTTTTACTCTAAAATTGTGAAAAAAGTCAAAGGCATAAACCTAAACAAGTTGTGTTCCAAATTTGAGGATGATATCTTAAAAAATGAACTTTCAGTATGACTTTGTTTGGATGAATGAAATAAAAAAAGGGTTGATGGTGCATTCAAGTCATGTCGAAAAGATCAAATTTATGAACTGAAAACATATGAACGCCACCACAAAATTGTAAGTGAGAAAACATGTCGGACACAATAGTTGCAGCATCTTTACTGACAGTAAATTTTCTGAAAATAATAAAAAATAATTATTTTGTTGTCGCTGTTATTATTATTATTAAATAAGTGTTTCATCTGCATTTGAATCCTTTTTCATCTTATTTCTGAGCTCACCTGGCTTTACAGCCAGTTACTTACTGATGCTTTCTATTGCACCTAAATGCAACGCTTGCGTGACACTTCCATCATGCATCAGTATCTACAGCATCATTCTCATGAAGGGATTATGAAGTGCTGTATCTCGGTTTACAAGCTCAATTCTGTAGCAAAAGTCCATTTTTCACTGTACCATATTTTTATGGATCCTTGAGCTTCGAATACGGGACAAAACAGATATATGAGCCAAGCATGAATGTCAGTTATGCTTATTTCAAGTCTGCATTTCTCCGAGACTGACGGCTCAGCACAGGACAGTGGTCATTAAAGTCTTTTACTTGAATGGCAATGGTTCCTGTTGCAGTTTTAGTCAGGGCATCTGTAACAGAAATGACAGCACATGAAACTATACATTTCGAAACTCTTTTGCTTTTTTTATAAGTGCTTTTAATAATATCTGTTGCCAATTCCAACCTTTTTACATGCAAATCATCAATGCTGGGTAGATTAAGTCTGTTACTCATTACAAATTACATGATGAAAACTGTAGTAAATAACATAATCTGGATTACACATATGTAGTGATTACATATAATCTGGATTATGTAATCTGATTCCAAAATCCAGATTATATGTACTCCATTACTACCCAGCACTGCATATCATAAAATGTAGTAGCCTATCACCACAGGCTCACTTACCATTAGTGATGCAGATTATCTGAGAGTAATATGTGCCATTGGTCAGAAACTTGGACTCATAATCTGGCATTTTATTGAGTCTTATATCAGCCGTCCTCTCATCTATAATCAGCCAGTTGTCAACATCTAGTCCTTTTGCATACCTAAAATGAAAGAAATGAATAGTTTTATTTCAACATCTGAACAAAACCACATCCTTTAGTAAGTTTGTAGAATTTCTGTAGTCTCACCTCACGTTATTAGCAATTAGTAGCGTGTCGCTGTCTATTGCTGCGTAATTGGTAATGACTTTATGTAAAATAGTGATGGTGCTTTCTTCAGAGATGGTGATGACTTTGACAGCGGGTTTGAAGCGAGGGCCCTCAGGCTGGTTGACCTAGTGTAAGTGGATCCGTTCGAAGACAGAGATCCTACACACTTGAGTTTTGGGGACAAGTTCTCACTATTAACTAGCATGCATACTAGCATATTGGCTGTTTATTAGTACTTATATAGCACATATTAATGCATTATTCTGCATGAATCCTATGCCATACCTAAACTTAACAACTACCTTGCTAACTATTAATAAGCAGAAGATTAGGGGTTTGTTGAAATAAAAGTCGTAGTTAATAGTGAGAATTGCACCTTAAAATAAAGTGTGATCTTATAAACACTTAACCAGAAAAATTAAAACTTAACCATGCAAAATCAATTATGTTTCTGTAAAAACTTAATTTGCATTTCCTGATGGAAAAATAAATGCTTGCAGTGCAGCAATAAATGAATGAATGAAGTCAAGTCTGTGGCAAAATTATCCATAAACGTAGAAGAAATCAATGTTTAGAATGTCAGGAAATGGGACATTTTCAATCTTTAATCAAGAATAAATTTGATTAAAAAAAAAAGTCTGAAATTAACTACAAAACAAAATTAGAAATTATTCTGTCTATTGAGTGGTTGAAGCTAAATTAATTACTGTTTGCATACCTCTCTGTCGAGCGTGTTGTGCATGACGTGTATCCCACCAGTGTCTCGATTAATGTAGAACATGTTCTCGGGATGCTGTTTAACAATGCTGTAGGCGATTTTTGTATGCAAAAATCGTTATTATGTATCGTTACAAACTCAGCTGAAAAATGACATGCGGTAGACTTAATACAAATAAACTTCATGAAACGTTTAACTGTATTCAATAGTGTTCAAACAACCTGTAGAGCTGGAAGTCAGTCAGTTACACTGCACCTCTGACCCTCGAGGGGTTTTCAGACAGGGGGAGTTTCTCTTCCCCTGGTGAGTTAGGGTTTAAGCACTGATTTTATTTGAGTCTCTTGAGACGATAAGCTAGATGGTACAGGAACTGCTGAGACACTTCACTGACCCTGCATGAGTTTTACGACCGCAGATGGCTGCATAGGGTGCTCCTCAGTTTGTCTCAATGGAATGTGATTGTTTTATGTGTGACTCAATAGTGTAAGTGGATCCGTTCGAAGACAGAGATCCTACACACTTGAGTTTTGGGGACAAGTTCTCACTATTAACTAGCATGCATACTAGCATATTGGCTGTTTATTAGTACTTATATAGCACATATTAATGCATTATTCTGCATGAATCCTATGCCATACCTAAACTTAACAACTACCTTGCTAACTATTAATAAGCAGAAGATTAGGGGTTTGTTGAAATAAAAGTCGTAGTTAATAGTGAGAATTGCACCTTAAAATAAAGTGTGATCTTATAAACACTTAACCAGAAAAATGAAAACTTAACCATGCAAAATCAATTATGTTTCTGTAAAAACTTAATTTGCATTTCCTGATGGAAAAATAAATGCTTGCAGTGCAGCAATAAATGAATGAATGAAGTCAAGTCTGTGGCAAAATTATCCATAAACGTAGAAGAAATCAATGTTTAGAATGTCAGGAAATGGGACATTTTCAATCTTTAATCAAGAATAAATTTGATTAAAAAAAAAAGTCTGAAATTAACTACAAAACAAAATTAGAAATTATTCTGTCTATTGAGTGGTTGAAGCTAAATTAATTACTGTTTGCATACCTCTCTGTCGAGCGTGTTGTGCATGACGTGTATCCCACCAGTGTCTCGATTAATGTAGAACATGTTCTCGGGATGCTGTTTAACAATGCTGTAGGCGATTTTTGTATGCAAAAATCGTTATTATGTATCGTTACAAACTCAGCTGAAAAATGACATGCGGTAGACTTAATACAAATAAACTTCATGAAACGTTTAACTGTATTCAATAGTGTTCAAACAACCTGTAGAGCTGATTTTGTCTATATATTGGGAAATGTATTTTGTTTGTTTTCCTGCTAACACTTTAGATTAGGGAACACATACTCACTATTAAGAGTTTTCCCTTAATAAACTCATGATTCGCTGCTTATTGAGTAAATAAGGAACATTACATGTGAAGCTTTGATGGACAAACCAAGCTTATTGGAAAAACTTGCCAAAACTTCAAAAACACACCTACACAATTCACTGCAGTCTCCAGCTGAAATGAGCACTAGTGGCAGTAAAACACCAACAACATGTATTCCTATGATTACGGGGCAGATTATCCTTTCACAGTACTATATGACCTCTTAAACACTTCGTGCATGATTTGTAAACTAATACATTTTGACATTTGCATCACGTAACTGTATGTGCTTTTTCTGTCTGTATTAATCTCGCTCTTCTTAATCTCCTGGAACAGCATTGCACTTGTGATGTGAAGCGTTCGGGTACGAGTCACGATAAAAAAAACTCAATGGCTTGTCAACGCAAGCTAAAATGGCATATTTGCTTTAGCAAAAGTGTTTTTATCTCGTTGCTTTTTCAAAATAGGTTTAGTATGTTATTTTTAGATGCGATAGAGCGCCACTCACTCACCCAAACTTTCATTTTCCAAACTGCCACAATACATACAACAACCAATCTCTCAACAATCTCTCTTCTATTCATTATTGATTCAGTATTGTCTCATGTCATTAGCAAGCTATAGGTGAAATGTCCACTCCAGACAAAAACACTGTTCATGTCTGAAAACTTCAATATACACTGGACCAGATGGGCTTCATCTTCTGTAATAATGACATACTACACTAGATTTAATACTAGGGATGTCCCGATCACGTTATTTGTGCCTGTATATATATATATATTAGGATGTCAACGATTAATCGATGATCGATTAATTGTCGATAAGAGATGCAATCGATTAAAGCTATCGATGGTCGATTAAGT